AACAGCCATGGAGAGAGGTGCAGATGCACAATATACTTGTATTTGGGTAGAATATTTGCGGGCTGCTGTTTGCAAAGGTTGAGTAGCCTTCTCAGAACGAAGTTTGTCAGTACAGTCAGGGATCCATTACCGGCAGCCTTTAAAATCCTATGCAATACAGTGTGGTCCTTCTTCCGGAGTCTTGGAAAGAATAAGGGGGAACAATAAGGAAGTAAATACAAAAAACATAAGTTAATAAAAAGTGAGAATCAATGCTAAGTTATGCCAGACTGTTTGGATTTCTCCATGCAAAAATTAGGTGTTAGGTTTTCCTTGAAATTTGTAGAATATAGGGAGGGAGGCACCAAGAAAGATTAGACGAAGGGCATAAACCAAGACGAAGCGCGCTTGAAACATTCTCTAGTACGAAGCTACCCATCAGATCGAACTCATAGGTCCAAATTAATCAGAAGTATTTTACTGTGATTTAAAAAATAGACTTCTAAAGCATGAACAGAGTAATAAAAAAACCAATAAACAACTTTAAAGGCTGTTTCATTTGATGCTCATTGCCAACAAAATGTGAGATTTTGAAACTTCATATGAGTCTTGTCCGTCCTTTGGTCAATCACAAAGGATGATGTCGAGAAATACAACTGTGGAGTGGCCTAACCGTGCAACCAATGCAACTAAGTCTACAGGAACAAGTGACCTAGTAAATGCTTACTGAGGAGATGAATTTACATATTTTGTCTTTGTTTCACGAAATCATGACCAGCTGAGTGAGCGATGGGTAGTATTACTTTTGTTTACTGAATGCATTCTTTTAAAAAGCTCCTTTTAGAGGTTAACTCACAGTTTCACCCATAAAATTACCCACATACTGTTGTTTCAACAAAACTGATTCCTCTGGTTTTCTTGTTAATATTATTTGTTTCGTTAAGAATTTGGCTGTATATCCATTTCTGCCGGGTATATCCCATCATCATTACTGTGATCCGAATAAATCACTCTTGCTCTATGAGTTAAACGTTTCGTTAGGTTTCATTTCAATTGCAAAGAGATGAAACTCTAAGCAAGGTTAAAGATCAGCATCAAACATCAGCTGGTCCGTAAATTTCTTTTTATATCTAACCCACTTGTCTCATCGTTAGGACATCATTTAAGATGCAAGTAATTTAGACAAAATTTTCATGTTGGAAAAGACTGTGTAAAAGGAAGATCAGTTATGAAGAGAAATGCAAACTGCAGTAAAAGAACAAAAGAACAATATGATTATATGAAGTGCAGACATGTCCACTTGACTAGTCTCAAATAGGAAGAAACGCGCATACTAGATTCCATTGATAGCCGTCAAATAGTTTGCAACATAATGAATATCCAGGCGGTATCAAAGCACTCGCATAGGACACCATCTGCCAGCAGAGGCTGAGAAATTCGACTCAGTAAAGAATGGAAATTACATTCCTCAATAAATGACATGTAGAAAAACAATTTTATGATAAAAAGACTAAATCAGGTGAGAGAACAATTAAAAAAGTTTGAGTTTTATGAGAATTTTGTTTTTTTCCAGCTAGTATCCTTTACTGACTGATATCACTTGAAGAATCATTAGAAATCCGGGTGCATCGGATAGTTGTTTCTTCTGACTAAGTGATCGAACGCAGGACCTTTAGTTCCCATGGTGGATGCTTTACCCACTCAACTACTGGGTCACAGTTCAATGGTCCACAATTTCCTACTTTTGTCAGTTTACAATATAGCATGACTGTGCACTAGGTTCTTCTGTTAATATTTGCTTCACTTCTCACTGGTTGAATAAACAGGTTTCAACTTCTCATTAGAACTTCACTAATCAGCACTAGACGGTAATTTAGTTTGAAGTTTATGAGGATTTATCTATTTTAAATTAGTATCTATCATGAAATGACTAGCCTGAAATAACTCAATCTCCACAATCCTTAGAATAAATTAAATATATTAAAAGCGAAGTATCTTTACAATATTGATTCTGCCTTTTCACTGCAATGAGACAGACATATCCTTATGTCCTTACTCTGGACACTCAGTGAATCTAAGCTGCTACTGCTTGAATGAAGTGATCTATTGTCAAGCATGCACTTTGTCACTATGTCATTAGCTGAATATTGGCTTCTTTACCAAAACAATAAAGCGTTTTTTAGTAAGAGATTCAATAATTAGACAGTATGGTATGATTTTATGTTATCTTGATTCCCAATTAGTCATAATAATGTAACTGTTGATAATAAATTCTGGACTAATTTTTATTTAGTAAGTAATAATTTCGATGTGCATGATGCATTCGATTAACCTGTAAAGTAACCATTTCGTAGGTGGATCAAAGATGCCACAAAGCATCACAAACATTCAGCCACAATGGTTTGCCTTCAGATGATTTTGAACTTAATTCGTTGACCATAAAGCAATACATCCATTATCCTAAGTTCAATCAATATATAATTTCTCAAGGAATTTCCACCAATTAATCAAAAATGCCAACATATACATAAAACAATACCTTAAGCTTCAGTAAGATAGGTTTTTCACTCTGTAGCCCTACAACTTAGGTTAACAATGAATATAAATCCCAGGTCATATCAACTGTGAAGGTATTCTTCCGTATAAAGAAGTTAAAAGGTGTAGTTAAACTATCCAAGTGACTTTTGGATAATATATAATTCAACCTGCATGTTTAATGAGAGCTTATGATTGGTTTAAAACGTTTTATGAAGGGAATCTAGAGTGATATTATTAAGTTTTTTTCATTTACAACCTACTCAGAATATGATGAAAATAAACTTCGTAGTTGCCGAGATTATGTATCTCACAAACTTGTCTAAGTAATTTTCTATAAGAACTATTACACTAAGATAATAAAACAATATTTGTCTCCCTTTGTTAGCAAACCGGATATCTGAGTAGTTTATTTTAGTGAATTACTAGTGAGGTCATGATATAGTGATAAGAATTATAGTTATGACTATAATTGTACATGTGTTTCTCATAGGACTTTGTCGAAACCCAACTATGTAGACCTTTAAATTGAAGTTATAACACAATACATAAGGACCGTTCATTGAGAAACAAGAGATATTTGCAGAGAACCTAATTATCTTTTCAACAACCCACTTTCACAACTGCACACTTCTAAACATGCAAGTTAGATTATAGGGTTCCAGACAAATTTCTGGTCAAATGTGTAAAGGAAATGAACTGTCACTACTTAGAATAAGAAGTGGTCTCAATAATTTCATAAAATGCTCTGAACCGTATCTGCTAAAGACCAAAGTAAAGAAATTGTTTGTGCATGTTGTACACATTTACACGATTAAGGTTTGAAGCTGTGATCTGCCAAAGGTTCAGTTGTAAATTTATATTCTTCATTGTGAAGTCACATAAACTAAAAAAAGTCTTAAAACATATCAGAATCTTTCTTACCACCTAAAGTTTGGTCTAATAGTTTCAAAGTTGGAGCAAAGCTACTGAGGTATAACAATTAGCAACTTGGTCCAGAAAATACTGAAGAAAGTAGGAAATATTAAGACTGTTTTGACATGATCTACATTGAAGATAGATAGGGAGATACCTTTATTATTTGAAAAAGATCACTTTAGAAATGCATATTTGATAGATTAACATAACATAACTAATATAATGATGCCCATTATTTGATTACTAACTGTTGTGCTGAACATAAAACTAAAATACTGATAATGCTTCAAAGTGTGAGTAGTTCAGGCGTATAAGGGGATTAAATCTTCTGATAGGTTGACACTGGACGTTATTCTGTGAAGGTGCTTTTAAAGGGAATAATCGGATTTCTCTTCTTAAGTGAAAACATATTATTAGGTTAAGTCAAGCAAAACGTACGAATCTTCTTTCTTGTATTGCTTACGATATGCAAGTGAAGTTAATCTCATAACTCGTTATACTTGTTGTTAATACATTTGATTTGTTGATCTTTTGTTCTAAATTAAGTATTTTCTTGAAATAATGGTTGAGTAACATTTTAAGTAAAGAGCACTCACAAACACATTTTACTCCTCATTGCAATCAGTTGAATCGAGAAAGTACAACGTTTTTTACGTCACTATTTGCTTATTGTTTATCCAGTTCATTCACTCATCAGTCTCGAAGATAAGTATCATTTCTGAGCTAAGTGATCAGTATATCAGTAGGAATAAATAAAACTAAATGAGATCACAAAGTAAATTAATGGAAACTTATACTTAATTATATATTGGCTATCTAATTTCAAGCTTTAAGAAAACATCATTTTTCTAAGTCCATCGCTGATTTAGTACTGATACAACATTATATCGCCGTCAACTAGATGATGAACAAGTTCAATGATTTTGTCAAGATGAAATGCATTACGCTGGATATCTCAAAGATACAGTGTACTTCTTTGTTAGTTGGGAACCCGTAGAACACTATTTATCTGTCAGTTTTGTTCCTTTGTGGTTCAATTATGATATCAAATCACAGAAAACATTTTCAGCAAAAAGTCTTTTTCTAAATATAAATGTCACGTGATCATGAAGGCGTAGTTGTAAAGACAGGCCAAGAGACATTAGCATTAACTGCTAAAATATTCTTGTTTAACGTTTTTTCTTGTATTCCTTCAAATATATTCGAATGAAATTCTTGATTTTTTGATTTATAAACCTGAAGAATAGTACAAAAGTGATGTGGAACAAAATTTCAGTTCAGTCCTCACCAACCGAAATGCCAGCTTAGAGAACTACCCATTCTGAACGTAGCTACGAAATTTACATATATACAAAAGGTTTGTTCTATAGTATAGTACTTATTGTATGTCTGAAGGTGATAAGTATTTGTAGTGTCCACCGGGATTTTCATAAAAACACTGTACTTTCAAGAGAATGAAAAAAAATTGCAGAGTTAAAAAGCATTTTAGTCATTTTATATATTGTTATATCTATTACTCACCGACTGCACTAAATACTTCTCAATTTTTGTTGATCTGTCTGACTCAGTTTACTCTCGAGAAGATTTGGTTGAATACTTAAATCATGTATTGGAGGAAGAAGAAGCATCTATGAACAAATTGCCAATTTCTCTTCTACGATTCGGATGATGATTCCTTGAAGACAAGTATAGATTTTGATCTGTTCATTTACTATCCATGTGAATGATAAGCTAGATCTCAAATAAAATGATTATTTATTTGATATTCATTCTGTTCTACTCATATGCATGGAAGACCAATGAGAAGCCATGGAAGCCGATAGTAAAAAGAAGACAATGGAGAATCACCGAAAGCCTTTTACTCTGTTGATAGACACTTTGCAGACAGAAACTTAGAACTAATGTTGTGATGCCTTAGACTTCAAGAATTTCAAACGATGTTTTGGTATCAACTGGGTGATGATTTGTGCACGTGAAGGGCTTAGAATACTGTTATCAGTGATAACATGATGAGTATACGCCTGAAGATATTTATAAAAAATTACTCTTAAGACAACAAGCGCACAAAAAGAGTTCAAGTACACTTTTTGTCATTCCTGCTATTGTAACATGATCTACTTATCGGGCACCTTGATCCGTTTAATTAAAATTCTATGTTATTTCCAATTTAGTTGAAGAACTTAACCAAGAGGAGTTTGAAAGTTGAAAAATCATCCACCTTTTCTTTTATCTTCAGTCAATGGTGAAGCGAAACCTTGGTTTATGGATTGAAGGTTTCAGATAATGGATAGGCGCTCTTCACAATAGGACCCTAAACACTTGGAAGTACTAAAAACAGAGAAAAACTATATGATTTTCACCTTTGTTATTTCCAGTTATTTTTCATTTTAGAAGACATGAGCGTTGAGTGGCGGTAAAAGTAGGTTGATGTAGGAAGAGATAACTGAAATTATATTAAGGGATTTCAGCTAGTAAGTGACTAAAATGCACTTTGATAATTCTGAGTATCATATTTAATTCTGTATACATCTGAACTTTAAGTTAAACCAAATGAGTTATTGCATAGTTTCTGGTTTACAGTGACTGCTGGAATGATACAAATCTGTTTACCGTGCATAACCTATCGATATCTTTTAAATGAGGAAGCATATTCATGCTGATAGCAAGTATAATATTTGGCGCCGGGTTTCCCTGTCCATATGATAGACGTTTTACGCTATTAAAACCTTATTTCAGTAAAATACAGTATTAAGAATGTCTCATTGATTATTTTACCCATAGAATTTAAGTACAAGCTCTGATTCTTCAAAAATTGTGGGGAACTGATCGTTCAAGTCAACATAAATAACATGAATTCCCCTCATAGCAATCTGCTTGAAGTTCCACTGACTAGATCAGAGTATCCAAGGTTTCAGACAACCGTTTCATTCGATTGGACGGAGACCATCATTTTGTAGCTGAATCTCGCTAGCCGACTTGAGCTAACTGGATAATACTAACGAAATGCATTATTTATTCAAAGCATCACATGAAAGATTTGAAGTCTAATTATTTCAATTCTTTATTTTGTAGCTAGGAAAAATAAGTGAGTACATTAACAAATATATAAGGTGGCTCAAATGCGAGGGAAAAAAAAATTAAAACTAACCAGGTCAGTTTGTAGGCTAGGATAAATAGAATAAATAGCATCACGTAATAAAGTGTGTTTTGATTTCTTTGAATGACGCAGAAGTCCCCCACAAGTGAATCAAGAATACTTATCATATGGATGGTTTGTTGTTCTCCAATTGAAACATTTTGTCGAGAATAAATAGCTCCGAGGCTTGATGACATCATAGCTACCAAATTCATAAACTGTTCAACATGATACGGCTGTCTGGACAAATATAGATGGTTAGAGTCGCGTTTGCTAGCACTCATCAGCAAGCCGCGTCTGCAACCATGAGCAGACTGAGTTTGTCTCAGCAACTCAAACTTACCTCAATTGTCAAGTAAAATAGAGAGAGAACCACTAAGCCGTGCAGGCCACGAATGACTCCTTGGCAGACTAGACAGAGTACACGAACTAGTCACTAGTGAATAACCAGTATGACTGTCAATAGACTTCGATCACTGCTGAGCGTTGATGAAAGTAGAAAATAATAATTTGACAATTTCTGTGATATCCTTGTTGTAGAGTAGAGTAACACCCTAGTTGATCTAAAGTGCTTACATTGTTTTCTGTTCTGCCACTGAAAATTGTTGAGTATAGTTGAGTTGATGATCACTGAATTTGAACACTTTATTCAGAGAGGAATTTCTGTACTTATTACTAACAAATCTAATTTCTTGGATACTACTGGATATTGAAACTCATGCAATCGGAGGTAAATCTGTATCAAAGTTTTCTTTTAGGGTAATCTGTTATAAATGCGTACTGTTTGTCAGTGATGATTCAGTAATGTTGACATTAACATTAATTTTCTTCTTTATAGATATGAATTTTATAGAACAAGTTTCTGTATTTAAAAGGCATACATAAATCTTAAGTTGTTGATTATATGAGCTACTATCATCATTAGCTGAAGAAATTTTCAGTTGGGTTATTATTTAGTTGAAACGTTTTCAGTCTAGCCTGTTAGCTAACGTATCAAGGAGCACAACACCGCTAAGTTTAGAACAGTTTAATTGTACTGTACTTACTTCATCTTTTCATGACTATGATAAACTATTTAACTTGATAAATGAATTATTTATCGGAAAAAGTTCATATTTTTCAAACAGTCATCCTATTCAGAGGAAGAAGTTCATAAAATTAAAAATGATCCATATATTTTTCTGAAGAACAAATAGAAAATAAGTGTCGATCAAATGAAAAAGGTTAAGGAGTTCAAATTGTTTTCCAAAGTTCACGGAAAAAACTGTCATTACATCATCCTGAATAACTGATCGTACAGCAATGAATAACTAACTTCCTTGCATAGTGAAGGGATATTGCATGACTGAAAGATGGAAACAAAAAGGGAGAATGAAAGATTAGTAGGACAAGGAAAACGAGGAGTGAAAAAATTTCTTTGTTCACACTAGTCGACGTATAACCTGACCGTATCCGTCACATAAAGTCTTATTTATCGCTGCAGTATGAAAAGTGGTACGCTTTGGATTCGATTCACAATGGAAAACAACATAACTGACTAAGAAGCAGATACTTCAAGATGATGAGTTTCGGATGAGATAAAACGTCTGTTCTGGGTTTCACTGCTAGCAGTCAATAACCACTGTGAATACCATCCCGTGTAGTGTGACTTAAGTTTGACAATGAAAGCCACCGTTAACAGGACCTTTTACTCTGTTTGTTCAAATTTCAAACAGTTCCGCTTAAAACTTTTGGCAGAACAGTAAGATGTAGTTCATCTGAAAGGTTTGATGCATTAGTGGCATGTACACCGAACAACCTGATTACCTACTTGTGTTACATATCTGGATGAATTATACGATAAATGGAGATCTATCCACAATGCAGTTAGTCAGTTACCTGAAAAAATTATCTCACCTTTAAGTACTATCGAATTAGTTTAATAAAGTTGTGCCCTCTTTGTTTTGAACAAAGGACTTATTTTGTTTTGCAGCTGTATACAACTCAAATTTAACAACTTCATTATTCACTAGTTTGGATAGAGATTCCCACTTCCTTAACCATCATTACATAAGAGTCTTCTAAAATAATTTTAAAGTACAATAACCTTTTTGATCATCAAAAAATGATTGACACCTAGAGATACAGAAAAATGGTTGCCTACAATACTTTTTAGCAAAAAACATTCGACCTTAAATGTTTCTCAGGTGATTTGATCAAAAGCGCCTTGGGATCTCCAACTTATGGATCAATCAAAGTTTGACATGATCATAAAATTTTATCGTAAGTGTACTTTTCAAAACAGAAACTCAAACTTTATCAACTGAATGTGACTAATATGTTCAAAAAAGATTCAAACAGTCTCTGATTTCATGCGAAACGAATGTAGTCCCTGGTTTCAATCGCGGTAACTTATTCTTCTCAACCTACAAAGCTTACTGTACCGCCTTCCTACCTAAATAAACATCGGTGAAACTGCCTGCATGAAACAGATTTTTCTCAGGAGAAGTGATCATTCATCACACTTCATTATGGGACCAATATGAAAGTCTTGCTTTCCAACAGACTTTTGCTTTTTCTTGTGGCACTTCCTAGTTCCCTTAAACTAGAATATACGGAAATCAAAATCCGTTTAGGTGGCTGAACTTCATAAGTCTGCTTGTTTGCGCTAATCGAAGTACATGGAATGACCTAAATTGGAAAAACCAAGTCAATCTGTCAAATAGTAGTGTATTTTGACAAAATTATTGCGCAACAATAGAGATAATTTCGCATTCCAGTTCATAAAAATTAAAATAAGCAGTTTTTTAGCTTATGTTAAACTTGAAAATCAGTACGGTTCAGCATAATATTGAGAAAAAAATCCAAGAGGATTTCCGCGGAGGGAGTTGTTGATTTTAGCGGATCTGTAGCTGGCGATTTTGTCAATTTGGTTAATAGCATCTGTTATCAAACTGAGAAGTATTCTCAAAGCAATACGATCTAACTACGTTAGGTATTTTAGTGATTTATTGACGGCAGAGTAGACTTGGTGGATTAAATATGTGGCAGTAATGCTTCAAACTAAAAATATATAGCGATTTCGCACTGGCATGTTATAGCACCGACAAAAAACTGTAAGACCAAAATAGATTTCATATACAATCACCACATTTTGAAACCGCAACCCACTGAAAAAAATAAAATGAAGTATAAAACTCATAAGAGAATTACACAACTTACCGTTTGAAGTTAGGCACACAAAAACAATATCATTCTTCTGATATCTGTCCTTAGTGAACACAGAAATGTTGAATTTTTATCGTTATTGTTTTCTGGAGGTCATTAATTTGAATATTATTTGTATAAGCTAATAGAAACTGAGAAATGATCAAAGGATCAAGTCCTGTTTATACCCATAGTATTGTTATTCAGAATAACTAAGCTTAGCCCACTATCCACTGAGGAAAAAGACAGTGGGCGACGATGTTCTAAAACAGTCGTATAAATAAGGCCTTACCAACTGAGAAATATTAGGATGTAATCACTACAAACTGTAATATACTGAATTCACTATTTATACAACCTATCTTAATTATCAGAACAAGTATGAAAATCACACTGAGAATGTGCTCACCTCATAGTATATGATAACCTGTCTTGGAGACA